TCTGCCTCAGCCTCCTGAGCAGCTGGGTTTACAGGCGCCAGCCACCACGTCTGGCTGATTTTTGTATTTTTAAGAGATGGTATCATGATCTTGGCCAGGCTGGTCTTGAACTCCTGATCCACCTGCCTCGGCCTCCCAAAGTGCTGGGATTACAGGTGTGAGCCACCGTGCCTGGCCAAATATTATTTTTTTAAATGAATTGTTTCTCTTAGTCTGCTTTGTTAAATTTGGAATTTGTCCGGGCGTGGTGGCTCAAGCCTGTAATCCCAGCACTTTGAGAGGTCAAGACAGGCAGATACTTGAGGTCAGGAGTTCAAGACCAGCCTGACCAATGTGGAGAAACCCCGTCTCTACTAAAAATACAAAATTAGATGGGCACATGTCTGTAATCCCAGCTACTTGGGAGGCTGAGGCAGGAGGATCGCTTGAACCTGTGAGGCAGAGGTTGTGGTGAGCCGAGATTGCACCATTGCACTCTAGTTTGGGCAAAAGTAGCAAAAGTCTATCTCAAAATAAATAAATAAATAAATAAAAATTCAGTACTCACCAAGGTGCCCCTATTGTCTCTACTTTTATCTTGATGCATCACTGAGTTGACATTAGATTTCAAATTCGTCATTGCACTTACACTATTCTGTCCTGAAGCCACCTTTGTATAATGATGAAAGAAATTAGCAATTTGTTGTTATCCTCTGTCTGTTGGTATATATCAAGTGCTTACCTAAAAAGAGCAATAACCAGTGGAAAACATCATGTGTTTTACTGTTTTTACTTGGATGACTATTTACTTGTAACCTACTAGCAAACTATAAAATTGTATGAGATGCAGAATTTTAACTGAATTGCTTTAAGTGAACGTTTAAACATGATAAATCATTACATAGTTATTGGCCAAAAGCCCTGGATCTTAGGGATTTCACGAATTATTATTATTATTATTTGAGACAGAGCCTCACTTGCCAGGCTGGAGTGCAGTGGTGTGATTCTGCTCTTTGCAACCTCTGCCTCCCGGGTTCAAGCAGTTCTCTGCCTCAGCCTCCTGAGCAGCTGGGTTTACAGGCGCCAGCCACCACGCCTGGCTGATTTTTTTGGCCAACAGATGGTATCGCTTACTCCCGGCCAGGCTGGTCTTGAACTTCCGATCCACCTGCCTCGGCCTCCCAAAGTGCTGGGATTACAGGTGTGAGCCACCAGGCCTGGCCAAATATTATTTTTTTAAATGAATTGCTTCTCTTAGTCTGCTTTGTTAAATTTGGAATTTGTCCGGCGTGGTGGCTCGCTTCTGCAACCCAGCACTGAGAGGTCTGACAGGCAGATACTTGAGGTCAGGAGTTCAAGACCATGCCCGACCAATGTGGAGAAACCCCGTCTCTACTAAAAATACAAATGATGGGCACATGTCTGTAATCCCAGCTACTTGGGAGGCTGAGGTGCAGGAGACTGCTGAACTTTGCAGGTGAGAGGTTAGGTGGAGCGAGATTGCACCATTGCACTCTAGTTTGGGCAAAAGTAGCAAAAGTCTATCTCAAAATAAATAAATAAATAAATAAATAAAAATTCAGTACCACCAAGGTGCCTCCTATTGTCTCTACTTATCTCCTTGATGCATCACTGTTCAGATATTAGATTTCAAATTCACAATAGTAATTTAAAGCACTATTCTGTCCTGAAGCCACCTTTGTATAATGACAAAGAAATTAGCAATTTGTTGTTATCCTCTGTCTGTTGGTATATACTGCTATCACACTCTAAAAAGAGCACACCAGTGGAAAACATCATGTGTTTTAATGCTTTACTTGGATGACTATTTACTTGTAACCTACCAGCAAACTATAAAATTGTATGAGATGAATTTTAACTGAATTGCTTAAGTGAACGCTTAAAACATGAGAACCATATTGGTGGTATTTTATGTTAATATACTGAAGTGAACATTTTTTCAATATGAGTAATATAACCTACTCCTCAATGAAAATCTAGAATGAAATTTCATAATGAATTCAGTAACATTTCCATAATATTTAGTTACATGCTTATGTCTTTGTAGTGTTTCTCCTACTTTTTAATAGCTTATGCCTTTTGCCTTTGGTTTTTTTGGTTCATTTTAAATTAAAAATCTCACAACATGTGATACCTGGAAGTAGTGTAAACTGTCTCACCGTGGTAAGACCGTAGGCTGTGGGGACACAGGCTGGCTAAGGTTTTCTCCTGTCTTGAGCTTTTAGTGTCCTCTTTTGTGTAATGAACGAAGATCTATCTTGAAGATTTGATAAGACACCAAAGTTTCATATAATAGCATATACATGCACAGTAAATGCTTCCCTTTCACATTTTTATTGATTGAGCTGATTGATTGAGACAGAACTGCTGGCTTCACCCAGGCTGGAAATGCAGTGATCTGGTTTCTGCAACATCCGCCTCCTGGGTTCAGGCAATTCTCCTGCCCCAGCCTCCTGAGTAGCTGGGACTACAGGTGCCTGCCACCGTTTTATGGGTTAATGTTTGTATTTTTAGTAGATAGGTCAATTACGCTGGCCAGGCTGGCCTCGAACCTGACCTCGTGATCTGCCTGCCTCAGCGCGCCCAAAGCAAGCGCGGATTAAAGGCTGCGTCGCGCCCAGCCTGTCTTTTCTTATCGTCAAATCATCTTTGGTGATGAAATGTTAAATATGTACTAGTGGATATTATTTTGTTAATATGCTGCCTAGTGAATATTAAGCATTCTTACCCTTCAGACATGAAACTTATGAATTCAACAGGTGAAGATTTACAATTTGATTAAACAGCTTCAGGAGGTAGGTCTTCAGTGTTAAGTCAGATTAGAAGATTATGTGAAATAATTATTTAAGGTTTAATATTGAATTCTCTTAATGAAATTTCATTACGAAATAATATGTCTCTAAGTATTAATTATGTGTGCCAGACAAAGGTAACCATGTTGTCAAAATTCTCATACTTTGTAGTTATGAACTCATTTTTCTTTTATTAACCCATTACAAATACATGTAAATATTGCATTTACAGTGACAGAACTGAAGAACAGCATGTCCTACTTTTGAGATGCAAGATTTATCTGGTGTAATGCATTGAACAGATTATTATTGAAGTCTACACCAGTCAACTGAACAAGTGACCATCAAATGTCCGTGATACATAGGACAAAGGTTTTCTTTTAGAGTATGGAACCATGCATATTATCTTTAACATAGATTTAGTTAGATATGTTTTTAAAGAAATAGGAAATATAATTGATTTTCTGTTTTATTTGAGTGGGATGAAACAGGAATGGAATGACACACTGTTTAGATTTACTAAAATGGGAGGGATAGCCAGTGAGATCATATCCTACCTCTGGACCTTGGCTTTTAGGTTGAAAGCCATAAGAATAATTAGAAAAGGATAAGATTAAACACAAATATGTAGAAAAGAATAATTCTACATATTGTGAATAATTGCACCTGCTAGCAGTTCTTTTTTTTTTTTTTTTTTAGATGGAGTTTGTTTTGTTGCTTTGCAGTGCAGTGCAGTGGGGATCTCAGCCTATGGCAAGCTCTTCCTTCTGGGCTTAAGCTTATTCTACCTGCCTCAGCCTCCCAAGTAGCTGGATTACAGCACCACCATGCCTTCCCTAATTTTTGTAATCAGAGAGAGTTGAGGTTTCACCATGTTGACTCAGGCTGGCCTTGAACTCCTGACCTGTATGTGATTTATCCACATTGGCCTCAACAAAGCGCTGGGATTACAGGCATGAGCCACTGGGCTTTGGCCATACTTTAATAATGTTGTTTATTTTTATGGCAAATACAATGAGAGGACTTAGCCCAGTTTTCTTACTGCTTTAAGGTTTTGTTTGTTTTGTTTTGTTTTTGAGATAGAGTTTATTTTGGTTGCTTGGGCTGGAGTGCACCCGTGATCTTGGCTCACTGCAGCTTCCGCCCCTGGTTCAAGCGATTCTCCTTCTTCAGCCTCCTGAGTAGCTGGGATTACAGACGCCTCCCCAATGTCTACTTTTACTTTTAGTAGAGATGGGGTTTCACCGTTGGCCAGGCTGGTCTCAAATTCTGACCTCGTGATTCACCCGCCTTGGCCTCCTCAAACTGCTGGGTGTGAGTCTGCCAACCGGCTTTAATGGGATATTTACCACAGACTTTGATAAACAGAATGACAGCATTTTTGCTGTTGTTTTATTTCACTCATCATTTAAATAACATTGAATTCTTTTAATGGTACCTCCACATGAAATAATATGCCTCTAAGTAATAATTATAAAGCAGACAAGAGAATTCATGTTGTCAAAATTTTCCTACTTGAACAACAATGAACTCATTTTCTTTTAATAACCCATTAGAAATACATGCAATATTGCATTTACGGCAGACAGAACTGGGAAGAACATATTATCCTTACTTTTGAGATGCGATTTATCTGGCATAATGTTAGCAGATTATTATTGTTCAATTTTTTTGAACAATAATATTTTATTTTATTGCTATTTTTCTTAGACTAATTATATTAATAGAAATAAAGAGGTGCAGGTGCTAAAGACTAAATATGTATCTAATAGTTACTTCTAATTCTACATGATGCTTAAATGATATCCCTTTTTTCTTTTTTGTCCTTATAACTCAAGCTGTAAAAGCCAGTTGTCCATGGATATCCCATACCCTTTTTCCAGTGTCATGTTGAAGATTCTTATGTAGAAGGTCTTGAAAGGAACTTTTTTTTTGTGTGATGGGGCTCTACTTTCTGCTCAGCTGGAGTAATGGTGTGATCTTGGCTCATCAACCTCTGCCTCTGGTTCATGTGATTCTTCCTACCCCAGCCTCCCCAAGTAGGTGTGGATTACAGGCGCCCACCATCATGCCACAGCCTGATTTTTTTGTATTTTTAGTAGAGATTTGGTTTCACCTGTTGGCACACAATTTGAACTCTTGACCTCAGATGATCCTTCACCTTCAGCCTCCCAAAGTGCTGGGATTACAGATGTGAACCACTATGCTCACGAATTTTTGTAAGAAGACTGTCTACCAATGGAATTCCTGGCCTGGAGAGGATATTGCTGTCAAAGGAATGGATTCATTTTTTTATTAAAAGGTAAGACTCTGGATTCTTAGTTGACTGTTTTCTGTTCTGGAGTAATAAATTTTTTTCATCAAGTGATAAATATTTATTCACTCACCAGGGTTATATTTAATTAAGTCTGAGTTGCTTTTGGCTATTTGTTTTTTAGATGGAGTTTTGGCTTGTCCTTGCCCAGGCTGGAATGCAATGGTGCTAATCTCAACTCAATGCCATGTCCGCCTCCTGGGTTCAAGCCACCTCTCTGCCTCAACTCCTGAGGAGCTGGGATTACAGGCACAGCCACTATGCCTGTCTAATTTTACTTTAGTAGAGTTGGGGTTTGTCTATGTTTGTCAGACTTGGCCCCGAACTCCCGACCTCGCACTCCCGCCTGCCTCGCCTCCCAAAGTGCTGGGATTAAGGAGGCGTGAGCCACTGCACCTGGCCTATTTTAGGTATTTTTATCTTCCACTTTAATTTATCTGGTCCAACATTATAAGAAGTCATACCAGTGTTAGCTTTAAAACGTGAAGACTGCTCCTCATCTGACTGGGTATGAATTACATTTTCTTGGCAGTTTTGCTACTTTTACTAAAGAAAATAGTATCCATGTCTTGTTTTTAAGCCTGAGATTTTGAAGTCTATGGGAATAAAATGCATTGTTTTATAGATGAGGAAGATAGTCTTGAATGCAATGGAGACAAAGGGATCCTATTTAACATTACAATATGTTTGGTACACCTGGGCTAAAAAGATACTAGTTTACTTGTGAGGACACATCCTCCACGGGCACCTGATGAGATCATTTGCAATTATTATTTTGTTTAAGTTACTGTATAGAAACTCAAAAGAAGATTTAGCTGTGCTTCAAAACTAATCTGGTCTCTGTCTTTTCTTAATTAATTAATTAATTAATGAGTTTTTTCCCTCCTGAGATAGAGACTTGATCTTTCACTTAGGCTTTCACCCAGGCTGGAATGCAGTGGTGTGATCGTGGTTTCTGCAACATCCGCCTCCTGGGTTCAGGCAATTCTCCTGCCTCAGCCTCCTGAGTAGCTGGGATTACAGGTGCCTGCCACCATGCATGGTTAATGTTTGTATTTTTAGTAGAGACAGGGTTTCACCATGTTGGCCAGGCTGGCCTCGAACTCCTGACCTCGTGATCTGCCTGCCTCAGTGTTCCAAAGTGCTGGGATTAAAGGCGTCAGCCGCCGTGCCCAGCCTGTCTTTTCTTATCACAACCACCCTTGGTGATGAAATGTTAAATATGTACTAGTGGATATTATTTTGCTTAATGTTGCCTAGTGAATATTAAGTATTCTTACCTTTCAGACATGAACTTATGAATTCAACAGGTGAAGATTTACAACTTGATTAAACAGCTTCAGGAGGTAGGTCTTCAGTGTTAAGTCAGATTAGAAGATTATGTGAAATAATTATTTAAGGTTTAATATTGAATTCTTTTAATGGTACCCTCCACATGAAATAATATGCCTCTAAGTATTAATTATGTGCCAGGACAAGAGAATTCATGTTGTCAAAATTCTCATACTCTCTAGAACAGTGAACTCATTTTCTTTTTATTAACCCATTAGAAATACATGTAAATATTGCATTTACAGTTAGACAGAACTGGAAGAACAGTATTTGTCCTACTTTTGAGATGCAAGATTTATCTGGCGTAATGCATTGAACAGATTATTATTGAAGTCTACACCAGTCAACTGAACAAGCATTCATCAAATGTCCGTGATACATAGGACAGAAGGTTTTCTTTTAGAGTATGGAACCATGCATATTATCTTTTAATTAGATTTAGTTAGATATGTTTTTAAAGAAATAGAAATATAATTGATTTTCTTGTTTTGGCTCTGGAGTGGGGATGAAACAGAATGGAATGACACTGTTTAGATTTACTAAAATGGAAGGATAACCAGTGAGATCATATCCCGTCTCCCTGGACCTTTGGCTTTTACAGGTTGAGCTATAAGAACAATTAGAAAAAGGGATAGCATTTAAACACAATATGTAGAAAAGAATAATTTCTACATATTGTGAATAATTGCACCTGCTAGCAGTTCTTTTTTTTTTTTTATTGGTGGTATTTATGTTAATATACTTAAAGTAGACATTTTTTTTCTTTATCATGAGTAATATAACCTACTCCTCAATGAAAATCTAGAATTAAATTTGCTAATGAATTCAGTAACATTTCCATAATATTTTTAGTTACATGCTTAAGGTTCTCTTAGTGTTTCTCCTACTTTTTAATAGCTTATGCCTTTTTTGCCTTTGGTTTTTTTTGGTTCATTTTAAAGTAAAAATCTCACAACATGTGATACCTGGAAGCAGTGTAATGGTCTCACCTGGTGGTAAGACCAGCAGGCTGTGGGGACACAGGCTGGCCATGTCTCTTCTCCTGTCTGAAGCTTTAGTGTCTCTTTTGTAGTCATGAGAACTGAAGATCTATCTTGAAGATTTGATAAGACACTAAAGTGCTTCATATAATGAGCATATACATGCACATTAAATGCTTCCTTCTTTACATTTTATTGATTGATTGATTGATTGAGACAGAATCTTGCTGTTTCACCCAGGCTGGAATGCAGTGGTGTGATCGTGGTTTCTGCAACATCCGCCTCCTGGGTTCAGGCAATTCTCCTGCCTCAGCCTCCTGAGTAGCTGGGATTACAGGTGCCTGCCACCATGCATAGTTAATGTTTGTGTATTTTTTAGTAGAGACAGGGTTTCACCATGTTGGCCAGGCTGGCCTCGAACTCCTGACCTCGTGATCTGCCTGCCTCAGTGTTCCAAAGTGCTGGGATTAAAGGCGTCAGCCGCCGTTGCCAACCTGTCTTTTCTTATCACAACCACCCTTGGTGATGAAATGTTAAATATGTACTAGTGGATATTATTTTGCTTAATGTTGCCAGTGGTATTAAGTATTCTTACCTTTCAGACATGAACTTATAGATTCAACAGGTGAAGATTTACAACTTGATTAAACAACCAGGAGGTAGGTCTTCAGTGTTAAGTCCAGATGAAGATTATGTGAAATAATTGTTTCCAGGTTTAATATTGAATTCTTTTTTTAATGGTACCCTCCACATGAAGCATGTGCCTCCTAAGTATTAATTATGTGCCAGGACAAGAGAATTCATGTTGTCAAAATTCTCATACTCTCTAGAACAGTGAACTCATTTTCTTTTTATTAACCCATTAGAAATACATGTAAATATTGCATTTACAGTTAGACAGAACTGGAAGAACAGTATTTGTCCTACTTTTGAGATGCAAGATTTATCTGGCGTAATGCATTGAACAGATTATTATTGAAGTCTACACCAGTCAACTGAACAAGCATTCATCAAATGTCCGTGATACATAGGACAGAAGGTTTTCTTTTGATATGGAACCATGCATATTATCTTTTAATTAGATTTAGTTAGATATGTTTTTAAAGAAATAGAAATATAATTGATTTTTCTTGTTGTTTTGGCTCTGGAGTGGGATGAAACAGAATGGAATGACACTGTTTAGATTTACTAAAATGGAAGGATAACCAGTGAGATCATATCCCGTCTCCTGGACCTTTGGCACACACAGGTTGAGCTATAAGAACAATTAGAAAAAGGGATAGCATTTAAACACAATATGTAGAAAAGAATAATTTACATATTTGTGAATAATTGCACCTGCTAGCAGTTCTTTTTTTTTTTTTTAGATGGAGTTTTGTTTTGTTGCCCTTGCAGTGCAGTAGTGTGATCTCAGCTCATGGCAAGCTCTTCCTTCTGGGTTTAAGCTATTCTACCTGCCTCAGCCTCCCAAGTAGCTGGGATTACAGGCACCTGCCACCATGCCTTCCTAATTTTTGTAATTGTAGTAGAGTTGAGGTTTCACCATGTTGACCAGGCTGGTCTTGAACTCCTGACCTCATGTGATTTATCCACATTGGCCTCACAAAGCGCTGGGATTACAGGCATGAGCCACTGGGCTTGGCCATAATTTTTTTAATAATGTTGTTTTATTTTAGGAAAGTAAATACAATGAGAGGACTTAGCTCCAGTTTTCTCTTACTGTGTTTTGTTTGTTTGTTTTGTTTTGTTTTGAGATAGAGTTTAGCTCTTGTTGCCTGGGCTGGAGTGCAATTCCGTGATCTTGGCTCACTGCAGCCTCCACTCCCTGGTTCAAGCGATTCTCCTTCTTCAGCCTCCTGAGTAGCTGGGATTACAGGCAGCCCTCTCAATGTCTGGCTACTTTTTTATTTTTGGCCGAGATGGGGTTTGCACTGTGTTGGCCAGCTGGTCTCAAATTCCTGACCTCAGGTGATTCACCCGCCTTGGCCTCTCAAACTGCTGGGTGTGAGTCACTACAACTGGTTTTAATGGGATATTTCACTACAGACTTTGATAAACAGAATATTAGCATTTTTGCTGTTGTTTTTATTTCACTCATTATTTAAGGTTTAACATTGAATTCTTTTAATGGTACCCTCCACATGAAGCCGTATGCCTCTAAGTATTAATTATGTGCCAGGACAAAGAGAATTCATGTTGTCAAATTTTCTCTCAGAACAATGAACTCATTTTTCTTTTTAATAACCCAGTGAAATACATGTAAATGTGCATTTTACGGGTAGACAGAACTGGAAGAACAGTATTTTATCCTACTTTTGAGATGCAAGATTTATCTGGCATAATGCGTTGAACAGATTATTATTGTTCAATTTTTTGAACAATAATATTTTTATTTTATTATTCATTTTCTTTAGACTCAATTATATTAACAGAAATAAGATAAAAGTATAAAGTTAAAAGACTTGTCACAGATTTAATAGTTATTCTATTCTACATATTATTATTTAAATGATATCCACTTTTCTTTTGTCCTTATAACTCAAGCTGTAAAAGCCAAGGTCCAGTGATGATCCTGCCCTTTTTTTCCAGTGTCATGTTGAAGATCTTTATAGAGAGGCCATTCCAAAGGAACTTTTTTTTTGTGGTGGGGGAGTGGGTTTCATTCTTCTTACTCAGGCTGGAGTGCAATGGTGTGATCTTGGCTCACTGCAACCTCCTCTTGGGTTCATGTGATTCTCCTACCTCAGCCTCCCAAGTAGGTGGGATTACAGGCGCCCACCATCATGCCAGCCTGATTTTTGTATTTTTAGTAGAGACGGGGTTTCACCCTGTTGGCCAGGCTGGTCTTGAACTCTTGACCTCAGATGATCCTTCTGCCTCAGCCTCCCAAAGTGCTGGGATTACAGATGTGAACCACTATGCCTGGCCAGGAATTTTTTGTAAGAAGGCTGTCTACTAATGGAATTCCTGGCCTGGAGGTGTACTGTCAAAGGAATGGATTCATTTTTTTTTATTAAAGGTAAGACTCTTGGATTCTTATTGGACTCTGCTCTCTGTTCCCAGATAATAATTTTTTTTTTTTTTTAACTAGTTTGACAAATATTTATTCACCACCAGGGTTATATTTAATTAAGTCTGAGTTATTTTATGGTTTTTGTTTTGTTTTGAGATGGAGTTTTGCTGTCCTTGCCCAGGCTGGAATGCAATGGTGCGATCTCAACTCAATGCCATGTCCGCCTCCTGGGTTCAAGCGATTCTCCTGCCTCAACCTCCTGAGGAGCTGGGATTACAGGCATGTGCCACTATGCCTGTCTAATTTTTGTATTTTAGTAGAGTTGGGGTTTGTCTATGTTTGTCAGACTGGTCTGGGCACCAGCCTCGGGTGATCTGCCTGCCTCGGCCTCCCAAAGTGCTGGGATTACAGGCGTGAGCCACTGCACCTGGCCTATTTAGGTATTTTTATCTTCCACTTTTTAATTTATCTGGGTCCAACATTGAGTAAGTCATACCACTGTTAGCTTTTAAAACGTGAAGACTGCCCTCATCTGACTGTACATAATTGACATTTTTCTTTCACAGTTTTTCTCACTACTTTTGCTAAGAAAATAGTATCCCATCTATCTTGTTTTTAAGCCTGAGATTTTAAAACCTATGTGGGAATAAATGATTGTTTTTATAGATGTGTAGAGGAAGATAGTCTTGAATGCAATGTGATATTAAAGGATCCCATTTAAGATTATTGCCAATATGTTTCAAAGACCTGTGGGTTGCAAAGATACCAGTTTACTTGTGAGGACACATCCTCCACGAAGCACCTGATGAGACCATTTGCAATTATTATTTGTTTACAGTTTACTGTATAGAAACCTCAGAAGAAAGATTTAGTTGTGCTCTAGCATCCCAATTGTCTTGTCTTGTCTTAATTAATTAATTAATTAATTAATGAGTTTTTCCCTCCTGAGATGAGACTTGATCTTTCACTTGGGCTTAGAGTACGGTAGCATGATGTTGGCTCCTGCAATCTCTGCCTCCTGGAGTTGAGCAATTCTCTGCACCTCAGTCCTGCTGAGTAGCTGGGATTACGGCACCTGCCACGCACTTGGCTAATTTTTGTATTTTTAGTAGAGACGGGGTTTGACCATGTTGGTCAGACTGGTCTTGAACTCCTGACCTCAAGATCTGCCTGTGGCCTCCCAAAGTGTTGGGATTACAGGCGTGAGCCACTGTGCCCAGTCTGTCTTTTCTTTTCACACCCACCCTTGGTGATGAAATGTTAAATATATACTGGATATTACTTTGCTTTGAATATTGCTTGAGTGAATATTAAGTATTTATTCTTACCTTTCAGAGATGAACTTATGAATTCAACAGGTGAAGATTTACAACTTGATAAATCAGCTTCATGAGGTAGGTCTTTAGTCTTAAGTCAGGTTAGAAGATTATGTGAAGTAATGTTTAACATTAATTTCTTTTAATGGTAGCTTCCACATGAAATAATATGCCTCTAAGTATTAATTATGTGCCAGGACAGGAGAATTCACGTTTTCAAAATTCTCATACTCTCTAGAACAAACTCATTTCTTTTATTAACCCATTTTTCATCATTATGCATCCACTACATTTTGGCTAGACAAAACTGAAAAGAACCCAATGTTGTCTACTTTTGAGATGCAAAGATTAATGTGGCATAATGCATCGAACAGATTATTATTAAAGTCTACACCAGTCAACTGAACAAGCATTCATCAAATGTCCATGATATCAGGACATAAGTTTTTACTAGTATGGAGCCATGCATATTATCTTTAATTAGATGATTTAGTTAGATCTTTTGAGAAATAGAAATATAATTGATTTTCTTATTTTGGCTCTAATTAGTGGGGATGAAACAATGGAATCACCACTGTTTTGCAATTACTAAAATGGAAGGATTGCAGCAGATCACTATCCCTAGTCTCCCCACTATACTTAAATGTAAGTGCTAAAGCTTTTTTTTTTTTTTAAGATGGAGTTTTGTTCTTGCTGTCTTATGCTGGAGTGCAGTGGTATGATCTCAGCTCATGGCAGAAACCTGCCTCCTGTGTTCAGCAGTTTCTCCACTGCACTTGAACCTCCTGAGTAGCTGGGATTATGAGGCCCCTGCCACCACGCCACCACTGTTTTGTATTTGTAGTAGAGTTGGGTTTCACCATTGACCAGGCTGACCTCGGACACCTGACTTCCCAGGAGATTCACCCGCCTTGGCCTCCCAAAGTTCTGGGATTATGGGTGTGAGTCACTGCACTTGGATTTAATGGGGATATTTCTGCAGACTTTGATAAACAGAATATTAGCATTTATGGTATTCACTTTATTTACTCATACTATTTTTCTTTGGACTCAAATAACAAGAACAGAATTAAAGATCAAAGTATAAAGATTAAAGACCAATACAGATTCAATCATTGTGCTTTTCTACATATTGTGTTTAAATGACATCCTTTTTTCTTTTTGTTCTTATAGCTCCAACTGTAAGCTCAAAGGTCCGGGGATGATCCCCTTCCGTTTTCCAGTCTCTGTGTTGGAGATTTTTATGCAGAGTTCTTCCCAAAGGAATTTTTCAAGCAGAGTTCCACTCTTGTCGCCCAGGCTGGAAGTGCATCTGGCGTGACCTTGGCTCACTGCAACCTCTGCCTCCTGGGTTCAAGCAATTCTTCTGCCTTAGCCTCCCGAGTTGCTGGGATTACAGATTCTTGCTTTCCCACCTTGAGCTATTTTGTATTTCCCAGTGGAGATGGGGTTTCGCCATGTTGGCCAGGCTGGTCTTGAACTCCTGACCTCAGGTGATCTTCCCGCCTCAGCCTCCCAAAGTGCTGGGATTACAGGCGTGAACCCATGCCACGACCAGAAATGTTTTTAAAAAAGGCTGTCTACTAAGCCAAAGTTCCTGGCCTGAGAGGATCATTACTTTCCAAGGAAAAAATTTCTTCATTATTTAAGGAGTAAGATTCCTGGATTCTTTTTGGACTCTTAATCTCTATTCTGAGTAATCCATCTTTTTTATTGTTGACAAGTAATTAATTACACTAGGAGTTGTATTTAATGAAATCTGAGTTATTTTATGGCTTTTTTTTTTCTTTTGAGACCAGTTTTCTCTCATTGCCTGGCTTGAGGGCAATGTGTGATCTCAGGTCATCACATTCACCCTCTGCGTTCGGGTTCAAGCTGTTCTCCTCCTTAGCCTCCCGAGTAGCTGGGTTACAGGCATACTTCCATTTATTAATTTTTTATATTTTTAGTAGAGATGGTGTTTCACCAGGTTGACCAGGCTGGTCTCGAACTCCTGACACTGGGTGATCCACCTGCCTCGGCCTCCTAAGTGCTAGGATTACAGCACTTTAGTCTATCCTGTGCCAGCCTGGGAGCACCTTGCTGTTCCTCTTTTTTCATTGCTTAGGTTAAAATTGGTGACTTACTCAGACACAAGCAAAGAATATTAGCCCAGCTTTGAAATATAGGTGTACAGGCCATGTATGATTTTCCTAATTTCCTCCTTCCCCTTCGCTTTTTGCTCTCTTGTTAGTATGTTAATTGTTTTCTCTCTCTCCCAAATCTTTTCCCCATTTCTTTGGCAGATATTTTGCTTGTCTTTGGAAGAGAGTAGGTGAAAGTATTTTGGGGACTCTTTGAAAGGATACAATATGGATGACAGTCTTGGCTACTTGTTAACCAGATCTAGGGGCAGGGTGCAGTGTGAGCTGGAATCAGTTCAAATTAGCAAAACACACAATTGCTCAGTGGCAGGGAATACTGGTGACATGGAATTATTCCAACACATCTGGAAAGGGATACTGACATCATCCTCAGAATCTGTGGGGAATACACATAGCCCGTAAGACACATTCCTGTTTGACCCTATAAAGATTCTTTGAAGAATAATACCCTTGAATTTCTAGCCAGCTTGCCTGCTTATTTATCTTGGACAACTTGTGCCTTGTGGAGCTCACAGGTCCCCAGAGGATTCCACATTTGAAAGTGCTGAAGCTGAGAAACTTGGTCTTGGTGGACCCCAAAGTCTGCTTTTCTACTCATTGTTCCTTTTTTCCTAACAACTGGCATTGCTGTTTAATGGGTTGTTCTTTGCCGTTTAATTTTTTTTTGGAAGTGGTGTAATAGGATTTGGGTTTTCTGAATACTTTCCCAGCTGGTGGCTTGAGTGGTGGATTAGGGAGGAGCTGTTATTTTAGGCTGAGCTGGAGGCTGTTGAGTCGGGTGTATGGATACTCACAGCTTGTCTGTTGAGGAGAATGCTGTTCTCATTGTGCTGCCTTTGGTGGTGCTGTGTGGCGGCCCTTTAGATGTGTGGGTGGAGGTGAGTTGGGGCAGTTAATGAGATATTTTTTAGGTGCTTTGGATAAAGTAGCCTGCACTACAGGATTCACTGTGACTTTTTTCCTTAACTTGTGCGTATTTCTCTGCTAGCCTTTGCTGTCTTTCTCATGCCTTTGATTTTCCCAGCTCCTCGTGGTTGAATTTACCTAAGTGCTCTGCTGTGGTTTAAGTGTGTCCCCCAAAGTTTATGTCCTGGAAACTCAATCCTCAATGCAACAGTTGGGATGTGGGGGCCTAATAAGAGCCCTCATAGATGAGTTAATGTTGTTGGCCCATGGTAATAGATAAGTAATCACTGGGAGTGGTCTTATTATAAAAGAGAGTTCAGCCCCCTTTTGCCCTCTTGCCGTCTTGCACTCTCTTGTCCTTCTTTTGCCCCTTCTGTGGTGGGATGATGCAGCAAGAAGATCCCTACCAGATGCAGGCCCCTCAACCTTGGATTTCATAGCATCTCTTATCCACTATTGTATGTGTGTTTTGTGTAGAGCTATAAGAAATAAAGTTTCTTCGCTGCCTTTTCCTTTCCTTTCCTTTTCCTTTCCTTTCCTTTTCTTTCCTTTCCTTTCCTTTCCTTTCCTTTCCTTTCCTTTCCGTTCCTTTCCGTTCCTTTCCGTTCCTTTCCGTTCCCTTAACTTCCCTTCCCTTCGCTTCCCTGTTCTTCCTTCTCTTCCTTTCCCTCCCTTCCTCTCTCCACTCCCTCTTTCCCTCCCTTCCTCCTTCCCTCTTTCCCTCTTCCCCTTCCTTCCCTTCCCCCCTTCCTTCCCTTCCTTGCCTTCCTCCCCTTCCTCGTTCCTGCCTTCCCTTTTTCCCTCCTTCCTTCCCTTCCCCTTCCTTCCTTCCTTCCTTCCTTCCTTCCTTCCTTCCTTCCTTCCTTCCTTCCTTCCTTCCTTCCTTCCTTCCTTCCTTTTTCCTTCTCATAAATTATGCAGTCTGTGGCATTCTTTTATAGCAGCATGAAATGGACAAGGAGCCGACTCATTTTCAAGAGCAAGCCCTTTGTAGTTTCTGAGCGAATTATGACTACAAAGGAAGTTCTGTAGGTAGCCTCAGATCCACCACCTAGGAAGCATGCTGCCAAAAGCAGTCCTGAAACATCTGGATTCGATCAAGTGCTGGGCAACATGATACCTCTGCAATTTAGCACCTCCTATGTACCTCAGTTGGCTCAGCCCATCAGGGCTAAAACTACCCTCATATCCTAGTGTCTCTTGTAGGCAGAAGCCTTGCCTGAACCCCAAGCTGCTTGGCTCACATTCTGTTTTGTGCTTTTTTTGTAGGGAGTTCAAATATGTTCAAAAATGGATGGGCCTCACGTACCCAACCCTCCGATTAAGCAGTTACCTCCATTTTTCCAGATTTGTTTCATCTGCTTTAATCTCCCTAAAAATTATGTTTATAAAGGAAAAAACTGAATAAATAGCTAATTCTCCACCCCTACCTCTCATTTTAAGTCACTTTTCAGAGTAGTAAGTTAGTGGCCTAGTAACCTTCCCTCTAGTGACCAATAGATTTTTTTTTCTGAATACCATCATGAACTCATAGATTATTGTTTGCATTTGATGTATTTCAGGCCATTGCAGTCTTTATTATTTGGATGCTTACATTGTCTCATCGAAGTTGTAATTATCTCTTCAAGTTGACTCTTCTGTCTTTTGATGTGATCCTGTTGGACTTTGATGACTTCCTTGCTTTCTGGCAGATGTTCCAGGATCAATATACTGTACACCATACATGGAGTCAGCCTTTTCTCTAGGGAGCCTTGATTCCTTTAGTAGGGAACACAGTTTGGGGTCTTGGACTGAATGACTTTGTGAACCTCCTCTTCTGAGACTACAGCCTGCATCCCTGCATATGCCTCTTATTTTGGAGCTCTCGCTGGGCACCAGCAAGTCTCCCTGAAACTTCTATATAGTTCTGCCTCACTCTTACAAAGATTCACCTCTTGAGAGTTTTGTGCTGTGTCCCCAGATGTGGTCTTTCTGGTTCTGAGCTTTGTTTCAGTCACCTGAATTCCACCAGCCCCTATACATGCCATACTTTGGATTGCTAACTTGTGGCACAGTGGAGCCTCTTTGGTTAGAATAGTTGCTGCATACATTGCTAAATGCTCCTAGTAAACAAGGTTCTACCTGGGCTTAGGTTAACTTTGCTCCTTTGGGCCCTGTGTTCAGCATTTCATTTATCTGAAACTCCCCCTCACCTCCAGACCTTATCTGTTCTTTAATGGTTTACCTGCTGCTTCTGGGTTTGCAGGGGGCAGTTCAGGAGATTTCTGTTTTAGTTTGAGGATCTTTTAGGCCTGACTCATCAGGTTGGTGTCCCAGCCCAGCTAGGATTGAGCAGGAGTGGGTGGGGATTACATGGTGCATTTGGCCCAGCATGTTTCCTGTCTGACTAATTATGTGTTTTTTCTTTCCTATTTACCCAATTCATGGGCCTTAGCATCTTCTGAATGGTGTTTAGTAGGTCATCCTGTTGGCCAGTTCCTACCACAAAGGGGGTGTGTATACTCTGGCACTGTACCATTGGCCAAGGGACTTTGGGATAGATGACAGTCTGCGAGGTTTTGTTAAATGGAGACAATATGAAGAGATGGCATTTGGCAGCAGGGCCCATTTGAATGGTTGGTCCTTTGTCCCTGTGTTGATATAGGCAGATCCTTGACGGGAATTTGGAATGATCCCAAATATTGTAGATCACTTTGGTGCATCTGAAGTTATCCTCCAAGGCTGTCTTTCTAACAGTCATGAATGATATTTTGTGGTCTTTTGTAGGAATTCTATGACGCAGGGTTTAATCATTTAGTTTTTAGTGGGAGCCTGTTTAGTTCTTTGCAGGAAATAAGAAATCTGGGAAAGAGATGGCAGGCATTAGGAAAAAAGCCAGGAGCCTTGTTCCTACCACCTCTCACTTAGGTTCTGGAACTGTACTCATAAGTAAGTAGTGAGGAGCTGGGCCCAAGCACATTAATCCTGAATCTAGCTCTGCTTTGCACTTATCATTGCTTGAATCAAATTCTTCAAGTCACCCAGAGTAGTATGTAGAGGTCATTCAGGAGCGATGCTTATACTGTTATATCAAATGGGAGATCAGTAATTTATAGCCTGTTATTTCTGGAGTCTGGAGATGGCTCTGTATAAGCTTTGCTGAAGCAGATTTTATTACAT